CCCCAAAACCCCAAAACCCCAAAACCCCATGAAGACTATATAAACTATTAAATGAGTTATTTAAGAATAAAAGCTTAATAAAATATGGCTTTTATTAAAAGGAATCTCCACTTCCTAAATGTAATTCAATTAGTTGGTTATAATTACGAATTTAATTATTCAAACTACAATTTGTCGTTCTCGTCGCCATATTCATCATTCTGATCTTTTTCACTAACTTATTATTCATCTTCTTCCTTTATTACCTCTAAGTTACCACTCAATTTAGCTAGTTTTTCTTCTTATTATCTCAATGTTTAACTTTCTATGACATTTGGCTTTAGTTTAAATTCGTATTTTTTAATATCGATGTTTCTATCTTAAATAACATTTACTTAATTATTTGGCCCATTTTTTCTTTCAAACTTTCTCTAGTACTTAAAGTAAAATAATGTCCAAATAAAAACTAATATCAAAGCTGGAATAACAACACAAATTAGAGAACCAATTGTAAACCCTAGAGATAAGTTTTTCAATATGTTCTTCTAATATCTTGAAAGTTCGAATTCCGAAGATACTTCGAAATTTTCTTATTGAACTTCGAAGTCTTGTTACCATTTCCATTATAGGTAAGTCTAGATAAAACTACAGAGCAACACTAAGCATGTACTAATTTGATTAAAGCCAAGCAAAATATCTGATAAAGTAACGTAGGAAACAGGTGGAATATTAGATCTCATTGAAGGAATAAATGAAATTAGAGCAAGGATTAAAACTCCTATATTGGCGATTCTAGCCCCAAAATCATATTCAGATTGATAAATGGATAAAATCAAAAATGAAAGTACTATTAGAGGACCATAGTTTGTAAGAAACATACTCAAAGGTTTTCTGTAAACTGGTATTTGAAAGAATACTTTGTTTGATTCTTTAAAATCAGTGGTTGACTCATCTTCATAAATGAAAATAATTTTCTCTGCAGAATATGCATAGTTGAGAATAGATAAATTATCTTTTAATTCCTTTGCAAGAAAAATTAATTGTTGCTCATTTTATGGTTCTATCTACTCTTAAAATCTGAATCTTTTGAGAAAACCATCTGTATTTTATTCCATCAATTCAAATGATAAAGTAAGGTAGAATGGAGCAAATGGAATCCATCTTTAACTTCCACTTACTTCACACGTCATTTAATCTCTTATTTAAAACCGATAAATGCATTTTTCTTCATCATGAATTGCTTCATTTTCGAATTAAGATTCTCAAATGATCTAGTTATTGACCCTAATATTTATTTTGGAATCAGAAAAGAAACGATTAAATTATTCATTGAGGTATTTAATGGTTAGGTCTAAGGTATATGAAACTATTGCTGTACCTTCACTTGGATTAAAACTCGTAATGTTTTTGATAATTAATTTGGGAATTACAGGAATATAAAGTGATTTGATATCATGAATATCTATTTATTATCCATCATCCTAAATATATGTCATTGATTTGTATAATTATTACAGTTTATTCTATGTCAGGATCTCCTCCCATCATATTTATTGATTATACAATATGCCTTTCTGTCATTTCAAGATGTGTTTTGTTTCGAAGATGTTTTATCTTTTAAAAATTAATGATATTTTATTACTAATAAAAATAGTTTAGTGCAAGCACTTTAATTAAGCACTTCTTCAAATATCTATTTAAACAAAAATATGAATTATTAAAAGTTTTAATTTCATCAATCTTTCATTAAAATTATCTAGCGGGGTTTTGGGGTTTTGGGGTTTTGGGG